CTTGGAATGTGGTCCAGAAACTTCACTCATGCATGGTTGAGGCGGCTAGGATCTTCCCTCCTGCTCGTTAGTGTCAGTGACGTGACACCGTGGTAGAGGACAGGTGAAGGAAGGTCATTTCGAAAAATATCCTTTGCAAAAGTGTCCACCATTTTTTATACGTTAAACGGACACAAGGTCGGTGTGTTGGGGAGCAGGCACACTGTCTCCCGCTGCAGAGCAGGACAGGGACGACACAGGGTCCGCTAAGTTCCAGAAGTTAAGGGCGTTGGGGCGACTTGGAATTTATACAAAAAGGAGGAAGGGAAGGGTCAGGAAGGAAAGCGGAAGGGAAATCTGGACAAAAGGAGAATGGAAATGGGGGCGTGACAAAACAAGGGTCACTCCTGGCCACACGCGGGACCCACCACCTCCTGCCCCGCCCCTCTCCCCGGTGACTGCTTTGCTCGCGGTACATGTTTACGGGGCAGCTCTCGTCAGACCCCAGGGCAGATGGGGTTTAGGAGATGAGGTGCTCCCCGGGTCTCACGTCAGGGAAGGAGATGATGGGAGTCGGGGTGAAGGAGGATGTAAGGTCAGGGCCTGCCTCCAACACGTCTTACCTGTGGCCTCTTTGTGCATGATGCAAAAGGCACCTGTCACTATGTACAACAGCCGAAAGGTGGGGAAAAAAACCCAGATGTCCACAGACTGATGGACGGATGAACAAAATGAGGTCTATCCATACCATGGAATAGGACTCGGCCATCAAAAGGAAGGAAGCACTGACACGCACTGCAATGTGGAGGAGCCTCGACGGCATGCTAAGTGGGAGAAGCCAGACGCTAACGGGCAGATAGCGTCTGACCCCATTTATATGAAGTGTCTAGAACAGCATATCTACAGAGACAGAAGGAGTTAGTGGTCGCCAGGGACTAGGGAGGGGAGAGAATGGGGGCGAGAGCTTAATAGGTACGGGCTCTTCTTGTCGGATGGTAGAAGCGTCCAGATGCTGGCCAGCGTTGATGGTTACACCACACTGTGCATATACTTGATGCCGCTGAATTGTACACTTTCAAATAGTTAAAATGGTAAACTTCATGTTACGTATGTGTTACTGAACACGCATGTACAAAGGCAGCTGCATGGAGTGTGCCAGCTTCCTGAGTGCGTGTGTGTGGGGGGGGGTGGGCGGAGGGGTGTGTATGTGTGTGTCCTTGCCCTGATGTAGGCACGGCTGTTGTCTCTGAGAAGCGTCCCCAGCCTCACACCTATTCTCCAAGGTTTGCGTGATGCATCCCAAGGCAGTGGGCATGGCTTCGTAAGAGCTCTGAGCATCACTGCCGGGAAAACTGATTTCACTGTGACTGTTTTGAACCCCAGGTTTGTTCCTTTGGTATCCTGGAAAGCAAGCAGAGAGGGAAGGCGATGAGGCTTACCTGGAGGTGAGCTCTCCCAGAAAGCTAGGAAACAGAAGCAGACGGGACTGCTGTGATGGTCCACAATGGTAACCAGGCCTTATTTCCCATTATTTAGAGGTGGCACATGTCCCAGTCACATCCCTAACCCACAGCTTTCAAGATCTTTGCGTCCCTTAATAGTCGACTCAACTATTTCTCTCTACTGTGACTTCATCTCTTTCTCTAATGAATGAGTTAAAAAGAGGAATCACTTGGGTTCAAGGCCTGCTGCTTGAAAATAAATCCCCGGACCAGAATTTCTCTCTTGACCACAAAGGGCATTGTGAAATACCTGTCCTTCACTTATATTGACAGCTGAAAGAATTCTAATCCTCTCCAAGAAAATGAAAGAAAATATTGCATACTTGGAGAAGCATAACAAATAGAAACACTGTGTCAAACAAAATTTGCAAAATCAACCCATGTTCTACTTTGCTGCCCCAACCGAAATTTGGGGAACTCTTTATCTACTCAGAAGCATGGAAGGTACACCTGGACTTGCCTTTGATGGCTGAACTACCCAAGGCTCATCAAGGTTACAGGCCAGAGCCTTTGGCGATGAAATTCGAAAAGGAAAACGAGAATTCAAGTTTTCCCCCTTTTGCCGATGTTTTAAAAATGGGAGAAATTCATTTCATAAAAAAATAGAGAACCATTTTCTCAGCATTCCGAGGTATCCGGTCTCCCCACTGTGGACGGATGCCTCCCAAAGATATAGCGAGAGATCACCTGACGGCCGCCGCTCTTTTCTGAAATCCAGTGCAACACAAACCCATCTCCCTTTGGGACACGTCCGCTTCCACCACGTGAGCGTATGCACACCCGTTCTTGTCAGATACACATATTTTGTATAACGGTGTCAGATACACATATTTTGTATAACAAAGCTTGTCATCAGCTTGGCTATCTTTTCCCACGTGACATTCTATCAGACAGAACTGTGAAACTAGACAAAGAGACTCTCTCCCCAACTCTACCTGGTAACGGAGGAATTTGCGGACCTTCCTGTGCTGTCTCCCAGTCATCTGGGAAGAAAACAGTTCGGCCAAAGGCCGAGACAGGGTGGACGGTGTGGTGGGACATGGATACTCACCCCGACACCGTGAGCTTCACCTTGATCTGGTAAGACACCAGGATGCCCAGGACGGTCCGGTCTATGCCCTCCTTGATGCTGCTCAAACAGAAAGGAGAAGCAGAAGATGCAGGGAGCAGCAGAAAACACGGGCTGGCTGAACAGCCCCTCGCGTCCAGGCAGGCACGCCACCGTGGGGGTGTCCTCCCAAGGAACTGGTGAACTTGACCAAGCTGTTGAAGTTCTAGAACTTTCCGTACTCAGGGCACGGGGATTCCTTTCCTGCATCGTAGCTTGGCATTTCCCCTCTGGATGTTCAGAAGGCAGGGTGTGCTTCCTGGTGCTCCCTGCGCTGCCTCCATTGATGCTCATGCACCTGTTCATCTGCCAGAAACCTTGTCCTCCTCGGCGCCTCCCTCTGCCCCGCCTGCCATCCCTGGCCAGCCACAGAATCTGCCACAGGCCTTTCCTGCCCGGATTATCTCAGTAACTCACCTCCCACGCACCAAGCTCCACCCCCGAGCTCTCTGCCACTCTGCCGCCAGTCAGGCCTTCCGAGGTCAAGCCTTAGCATGGCCGGGCAGGCAACCTGTGACCTGGCCTTTGTCTGCCTTTGTCACCTCATACCCTGCTGCTCCCCAGTGTCCTCCATGGGCCGGCCTTGCCAGCCACAAGCTGGTTCCAGAATGCCCTCCTCCTCCTCCTTTGCACCTCCAAGACCTCCAAGTGAAGTTGACCCTCCCGCTTTTGTGCGCCTGCCCTGCGTCCCCAGCCCTGCGTGTTGGAGTGAATGGACGCGGTGCGCGAAGCCATCGGATGTGCCCCAAAGAGAGTGCAGTCTAACTGTCCTGGACGGTGACTTCTCTCCAGATCCCACAGCACGCACGGTCGGACGGGCGGCAGTGGGCCTTGCAACACGGATCGTGACCTCATGTGATGGGACCTGGGGTCATAAGTATTTCAAGATGTCCAATGACAGGAATTAAGGTATAAAAACATACTGAAGTACCAGCTAAAGCCACGTGACTGACAGACGCTGTGGCCTGAGGCAGAAGGCGGGCGGGGTTCTGTTCAGAGGTCTGGGAAGGCGCTGTGAGGCAGCCAGGGAGGTTCTGGGCCTGGAGGGGACACCCAGCCCAGGGACCCTCCTGGTGGGGGGCGCCTTGGACATTGTCTCTAAGAGCATGATGTCCCCCCAGTAACTCCACTGGCTCATCGGTATCGAAGAGGGCAAAATGCCTTTGCCTGGCATCATGGGATGTGGCCGAGCGCTCAGTGGAGAGAAGATGCCACCGAAGGGGAATGAGGGGGATGCGAGCCTGAGACCCCCGTCCCCTGTGGGATGGACTTGGCCTGGAACTGAATGGGGCCGAACAGCTGGGGGAGGGAATGTACTTTGCGTCATGCCCAAGGACGCCCTGCACACTGTCTCCCCGCCATCTTCCTTGAAGGAGAGAGTCACACGCACACACGACACACAGATTGGCTGACCCAGGTTCTGCAGTGCTTGTCACTTTCTAGGGCCCTGGTAGGGCTCAGGGTTAGGAGTGGACATTGCCATTAACTGGCCGGGTGACCTTGGACAAGCCTCTCCTTCTGGCTGAACTTCAATTTCTTTTTCCATAAAGTATAAATTCACCTTCCTCGCAAAAGAGTGTAGAGACGTACGTGTTTGTAAAATACTCCATGAACCATAAAATGTTTTTACGGAAGTAGCGTGTCCCCACCGTCATGATGTTACGCCCTCGAGTAAGCTGGCCTAGGGTATCAGTCTCCCGCTTCTTCTCCCTCCCAGAGTGTCACAGATGTGCTTTAGAATCCAACACACCCGCTGGACCAACTACCCTCAGAAAATCCTCCGACTCCCACGATCCTGCTTTCCATCCCCTGCTGTCCGCCTCCCCTCCATGCTTTACATGGATCGTCGAATTGTCTGCACCCCCATTTTATAGACAGGAAAACTGAGGTTCTCAGACAGCTCAAGCAATTTGCCCAGGGTGGCCCAGACGGTGAGCAGTGGAGCTAGGGTGGACACAAGGCTGTCTCTGGAGCTCAGAACCGGAACTGCCACGTCACACCAGGGTGGGGGTGCGGTCCCTGCCTGTGAGCCCAGGGGCTGAGATGAGAAGGGGGAGCAGACCCGCGTCCCCCACACTCTGAGTCTCGCGAGCTCATCTCCTACAAGGACGCACATGGTGCTGGAGGCAAGGTTCGTGTCCTCATGCTTGATCTTGCCATCCAGGGCAATGCCTCTCCTCTCGCGGTTGTTGGCCAGCAAGGGCACCAATGTCAGCGTCGTGGTCAGCGTGCTGTTTGGTGGCACCTTCTCTCTGCAAGAAGAACACCAGGGAGGAGATCTGGTTAACTGCTCTTACGGCCACAGTGCCATCGTCGACCCCACGAGGCCCAGTCTGTCATCAAGCACTTTCCAGGATCCCAGGTCCCTGTGACTCACTGGAAAGAGAGTCGGATGCGTATTCATTTCCCTGACAAGAAGCAGAACAGGATTACTGAATCTCACAATAGGTTGCCAGCACCACTGGACATTTCCTCAAGTCCCTTGGCCTGCGCCAATCGCTGAATTTCTAGAACATTCTGTGGGGTCCCTGCCGCAAGGGTCAGGGACCACACCCAATCTCCTCCTGAAACTGAACCACACAGTTGGCCGCAGCACCATCTGATCGGTGCCGGCAACAAGCCCGGGCTGGAAGTCACCTGTTGCTGACAACTGTGGCTGTACGGTGGTCAGCAGGTACCCAGGTGGCTGAGAGCAGCCAGGAGAGGTCCTCGCTGCGGACCATACAGAATGGACTGGTCTGGGTTCAGAGTGGCATATATTCTTTCTCTCCCAGATCTTCCCCATCAACAGCCGGGTGGGGGTTCCCCAGCATCGGACAAATACAGGGGACCTGTGCCAGAGGGAGGGTCTGGGATGGAGCTGGGGACACAGCACCGTGGATTTCTCCAGGTCGGGCAGCATCCCAGCTCAGTGAGCAGGGTCTGAGGCTGGAGAGCTGGTTCCGCCTCTCACCCACGCTGGGCCACGCTGAGCCCTGAGCCGTCAGTACAGCCTCGCATCTCATGCCGCCAACCCTGTGACCGAGTAGGTGATCTCGGGAGCCCCACTGTGCGACCAGAGAAGCACACCCATGGTCACATGGCCGCATGCTCTCCGACTGCAGAGCCCAGGCGAGCCAGTGGCCTGTGCCAATGCTCCCTGCACGCCGGCCATCCCTGTGTCCAGCCAGGAGAAGACAGGGCATGGGTCCTTAGCCTGCTCCCAGACAGGCTGGGAGTCTGACCTGCCACCCTCAGAGGGGCTTCCCTATTTGAGCCCGTGGGGAATTTCAAGCCACTGTGGCTTCTCCCACCCCAGTGCATACAGGGGGCTCCTGGGCGTGCTCACTGCAGAACTCCACCGGAGCCCAGGGGTGGCCCACAGTCTCCTATCTGGGCCCTGGTGGAACCTCTCCTAGCGAGCTCGGTTTGGACAGCAAAGTGACAGAAGCGGAAATCACGTCGTAAAGGTGACAGGAAAAGTGATGGTCGCTTCCCAGCACCTTCAGGATCTGGGACCAGATGGCGGGCAGCAGCTCGGGAGTCAGGTCTGCCCTGGTTCTGAGGAGGCCCGCCCACAGAGCCCAGGGAGCTCTCGGTTCAGGGATGATGGCTCCTGCTCCACAGCCTTCTGAGTAGCTTCTGGTCTGAGACCTCCAGGCACTCAGCCAAGGACCACTCTCTCCTACCATTGCTGAGCGTGTGCCCAGAAGTGAGGCAGGAAGCTCCCAGGACACGAGAATGTGCAAGGATGCCCCCTAAAAGAGACCCCAGGCCTGGCGCCGAGGAGGCAGTCAGCGAGTTATGCCTCTTCCCTCCCTCCCCTCTCCATCTATATAAACCTTAAGCCTGGATTTGCCTTGGCTAATAGTTTATCCCAAAGCTGCTTTTTAAATATTACCTAATATTATCCTGCCGAATCAGTTGTCTTTCCTCACCATCCTCTTCCTCTAATGGTGGTAATATTTTTTGCATACAATGGCGCTTAGAACATGACAGCTAGATAAAGACCCTCCTGAGGGCTCCTGTCTGGGGGGAGGCATAACCCCCAAAAACCTGTGCTTTTAGTGAAGCTGAGTGCCTAGTGCGAAGCAAAAGTGGGCAGAGCTCTCAGTCTACCATGAAGATTTTGATTCTAACGAAGAGAGAAAAATCAGTCAGGACAGCGGGCTGGGAACTGACACAGCATGCTAATCCAATTGGCGTTGGTATGAGAATTTCAAATTGAGGACAAGATCTAAAGATAAAGAACCCTCGCCCAGGCTGATGGATCATTTGATTCTCTGCTGGAGGGGGACCAAGAGCAGCATCGAGTTCTTAGCAGTGACATTTCCATCCCTATTTCCCTCCTCTCCATCCTGCCTTAGCTTAACTAACCTGTCAGAACTCTTGGGAGCGAGAACAGGGTGGAGATGCTAACTTTCTTTGCAGCCCTTGAAGCGAGAAAAGGGGAAGGAAGGGCAAAGCTGGGGAGCTAGCTGAGCGTGCCGCTTCCCTCATCTACTTCCCTCGTCGAGATGAGCAAAACAGGAACTTGACGAAGAAGCCTGGGCCGCCCAGGAAATAGAAACCCAACCAGTTACTCACTGTGCTTCCTCCGAGGCCACCGGCTTGACGTAATAGTCACTTGAATAGAGAACCACGTTGGCCACTTGTTCCACTGCAAAAGGAGGGCGGGAGTGAGTGATCTACGTGGGGTCCTCCACGCACATGCCAGGTGTTGCCTGGCCTTCAGGGGATGTGGTTGGTCCTCCCTCTCTAATGACTCTTTGAATGTGCTTCTCAGGCTTGGCTTTCTCAGCTCAAATCTTAAAGGCTGACATTTCTGAGGCCACTTCTGCTCATCAATAACCTGCTCTGTGTCAACTCCCACCCATGCGCCAGTCTGAAACTGCACTTCCTGGGAGCCCCCTCCGCTTGGCTGAGCGTGCTGTATGTCCCTGAGTGTCCTTCCGAGGCAGGCAATGTTCCAGGGGCCCAGAACTCAGCACATGCGCTCTTTCTCCAAAGCCACTCCCTTCCAACATTCTCTGTCTTATTGATGGAGAATCTCCTTCCAGGTGTCCAAGCTAGAAACCATCTGGAGGCAGTACAGGATGGGGGACAGGAAGATGGGATCTGGAGCCAGGCTACTTGAGTTCAAATCCCAATTTAGCCATCAGCTGGAGTGAGTCACGTAACTTTTCCAAGCCTCAATTTCCCCATCAGCAAAATGGGGGTGATAATTGCATCTAACTCATATGGGTGATGCGATGATTAAAAAGATGAATTTCAACCTCCACGTGGATGTTACGATGATTAAAAAGATGATTTTTAATCTCTACTGAGGACTGAAACAATTTATGTGAAGCACTCAGCACAGTGCCCAGCCTATAGAAAGCTATTAACATTTTGCTTCGGAAAACTCAACAACTTATTTCAAAATTAATGGCTTTGTTGTTAGGATTCATAAAACTTTAACGAAGAATTTTAAATCAAAGTATCAAAGGATACTTTTTCAATCCTGCTACTTTGTGGAACATTGTACTGTATATATTATACATCATGCTAAATAAAGAGGCCAAGTCCCATAAGGACTTAAAGGCATGTGAACTAAACCAACATAAAACAAAGCCATAAATGAAGCATTCCTATTAGTCTCAAGAAAAATCTAGAATTCTTTAGCATGCACGCATCAAAATTCCTGAACTTCATCTATGATGGACACGGGGAAGGAGGAGAGGGGTGTATGACGCTTAGGGTGACGAACCATCCTGGCTTGCCTGGGACTGGCCCCGTTTCAGCACTGAAAGTCTTGGGCAACCTGGAATGGTTGGTCACCCTGACATCAAGTCTGTCTTTGCCTTTGTCATTGGATGTCTGAGTCAGGAGTGAACTAGAAGGTCTCCCTCCTGAGTCACTCTATTGTGTCTCTTTGATGTAGCCCACATAAAACCATCATGTAAGACCACTCCTGCACTTTGATGCCCTCCACGCCGAGGACATGTGTAGGGACTGTGGGCAGGGGCGCCCCTCCTGCAGCCTTCTCGGGGCTGGGCCATCGCGCAATGGGGCGTCAACGGGAGCAGCGACAGCAGTGCTTGACATTTACAAAGCGCCTCCACGTGTGACCAGTCCTTGGTGCCTCATGGGACCCAGAAGGTAGACCAGGAGCCCCCGCCTGGTGCCTGGTGGGATTCAGAGAGGACTCGCACAGCCCAGCCTACTCGGAGCCCAGTGTCCCCAGCCCAGGGCTTTCCCACTATGCCGCGCTCATCTGTCAGCAGAACTCATCCCTGATCGGAAGCAGAAAACTCCTCTCTTGGCTCCCCCTGAGATCTGGCACAGAGTCCCCTCCAGGAAGGCATGACATGGAGAGATGGAAGATCGCCTGTCAGGATGTGGTCCCCACACCAAAGACAGCCCTCAGCTGGGCCCGAGGTTGTACGAGATGACATTGAAGGGCTTTTTTCCTGAGGTTCAGCCGTCCATGACGACAGAGACAAACAAGTGGCTCCAAGGACCCAGGAAGGCCTTATCCGGCCAGTAGAGACACCCCCGGGAAATAAGACCAGATTGAGAAATTCTAGAAGACTCCACCCTCCGGCTTTGAGCAGAAGGTCCTACCTAATGCTTTAATCTTCTTCACCGTCTTCTCTGTGTTGTTGGTCACTGTCACAGTCACAGGAATAGGTTCCCCGTGGAAGTAGATCTGAAAAAGTCAGCAGGGAAATCAGAAAAGGCGGTCGGTGTGCGGGGGTACCCTTACTCTCTCGGCTTCCTACCTTCACCTCATCCCCTTCACTGGAATGAAAGTGGCTGGATCCCCATACTTTCAAGGAAGAGAAAGTGACAGCCATGTTTCCTTTGGAGAAGGGTCTGGAACACACTCTGCCCCACCTGCAGGACGCTGAGAAGGGTGACGGTGACAGCGGGCAGCAAGCGAGGGTGCTGCGTGCTCACAGTCCCTGTGGGGTCGGCCGCAGGGTCTCTCGTGGAATCGGAAGGTTATTGGGGGCAGAACCAGGGAAATGAAAGTGGTGGGGAAGCCGGGCAGAGCAATCCTTGGTGGTGATGCCCGTGGAACCCGGGCCCAGGTGGGCACGTCCCTGCACACGCGTGCGCACACACAACACGAGCACGTGCATACGTGCACAGATGCAGGCACACAGCCAAGTGCAGAGTGTGTTAGGCTCTTGCCAACACATGTGCACGACTCTTGGTGACCGGAGGGGCCGGAGAGCCTTGGCCAGGGGTTCGTCGCACCTCAGAAATGGCACAGATGACACGTGACACAGCCACCCTCTCATGGTTACAGTGAAACTTGGATTTTCCAAGGAAGTAAACAGTTTGTAATACTATGACCATTGGTGCCACCATAGTAAACAAGGCCCATGGGGCAGAGTGGGGGCAAAGACAGCCCAGGCGGCGGGGGTGGTGTGAAACCACCCCACCAGTCGGTCGGGGACTGACAGGGAGAGGAATGCAAGCCAAGGTGACCCTATTCTAAAGGTCACCTTACAAGCTCCAAATTATTAAAAAAAAAAAAAAAAAAAAAAAGCTAATTGTTCTCAAACGTTGGTGCTTAAACTATCCCCAGACACACACCACAGCGGTTAGGGCGCCAGGGCAGGGCCTGTCCACCCCCTCCCCCTCCCCAACCTCTCCCATCTCCCACTCCTACACGGGGACACGGCGACACCTCAGGTTACCTCTTTGCTGAGGGAGACTGCGAGGTGCAGGGGCTTGTCGGACATGAAGAACTGCCAGGCAGCCTCGGCCCGGGGCTGAGGACCCATCTTCGTCGGCGCGTGCTGTACCTTACGGATCAGTAAGCGCACGGAGCTCCTGAGGACAGAGTGTCACAGACAGTCCTGCGCTTAGCGCCCAGGCCTCCTCAGGGAGGTGCCAGGTCTCTCTCCCGTATCTACAGTGAGACCCGACAACCCATGTGTCAACCCAGAGGGACAGGTTGTGGGTTGGGGGAGGGACCCTAGGGCCTGGTTTCCAGGCCTTTCTCTGTAATTTCACCACGTGGGTGGCCAGTCAGCTCTCCCGAGGGTCATTCTCACCCTCGGCTAGGACCCCCCGCCAGGACCCCCGGCCAGCCGCCAGTGGGGTGAAGCTGATGTGGGACGAGGACGTGTGACATGCTCCAAATGCACGCACTGTCGTTGCTACTTATTGGAGCCCCGATGCGTGTGTGTTGAGTGTGAGGAGAAAGTGTTGGGGGCACAGGTGGGAATATGTTCAGGCACAAGAAGAAAGCTGAAGGCCAGGCCCGGGGGGCCCGCGGGGCGGGAGGTGGGTGCGGAGTTTGCTTGGGGTGAAGAGGCGTTTCGGTACAGGTAGTTTGGGGTAGAGAGAGTGGACAGGGGTGTCACGATGGTTACACAGCATAGCGAATGTACTTAAGGCCACTGAATTGCACACGTGAAAATGGTTAAAATGGTAAACTTCATGTTGTGTATGTTTTATCACAAAAAAGAAATAACAAAAGAAGAAAACTGAAGAAGGAAGGAATCTGGAGGCTTTCGGGGGGCTTCCCGAGCCTTTGATGCTGCTAACCCCTGTCATTCTCTTTTATTTTTCTGCCCCAATTTATCAGCCATGGACCCACATCCCGTGGAGCGGTTCTGTCCCGACCGCCTTGACTACAGTGCCACGTGGCCCCACGGCGAGGTTCTGCCACAGACTCGAGGGGAGGGGCGGTTTCTCGGCCCCGCCCCCTGGCTCCGCGGACCCCGCCCCCGCGGACCCCGCCCCCGCGCCCGACTGACTGACTGACTGCGCTCTTACTTCCTGGGAATTTTCTCATCCTCGCCATCAGCGCTGTCCGTAGCGAACGCTTTGACCTCGAAGTCGACTCCACAGCACTGCGGGCACAGAGAGCAGACAAGGCCTGGGTCAGCCCCTCCCTTCCTGCGGCCCGGGACTGGTCAGACCCATGTGGGGGGGGTCACCGCACCTTCTCGTTTTGTCTCAGCCTTACCCTTTTCAGGGTCCACCGCTAAGCCTAGGTTTTCAAGGGCGGTGGTAATGAGATTGGCACAGAGAGTGCCCGAGGCCCCAAGGCCCCAGACAAGCGGAGTCAGCCCCCTTCCAGCAGCTGCAGGGTGAGATCCCATAGGCCCCATTCAGTTGTCCATCCCAGGTGGGACCCCGCCTGTATATTACTGACCCCTCACCCCACCTATAGCAGAAGGGCCGGAGGATGGTGCTCCCAGGGCCAGCAGGGGGGGCTGTGAGTGCCCCGAGCCCAGTGGGCAGCTGCTGTTCAGCTGCAGCCACGCCTGGCCAGCCTGGGACAGGGACCCAGTGCTGGCAGCAATTCCAGCTTTCGAAAAGAAGCTGGAAATGGAATTTGGAGTGAAGTCTCCTATATTTAAACTAATTGAAAACAATGTCGTATGGGTTGAACAAACGCATCTGCTGGCACTTTCAGGACCTCAGCCCAATGTGTGAAACCCTCCCCAACCCCGCTCATCTCTGCACATTAGCCCGTGTGTGTGTGTGTGTGTGTGTGTGTGTGTGTGTGTGTGTGTGGTGGGGCGGAGGACACG